GAATTAGGCACCAAAAGCCTGGTTTCTAGTTCTGGTTCCAGGTCTAGATTTGAGCAAGTCAACTTCACTCAGCTTTATTTTATCTCTCACCTATAAAATAGAAATATCTACTCACTGATAGACATTGTATATAAAAACATGTAGAAGAAATTGTCCATTCAGACACCGCATAGTAAATATACCACGATGTGGCTGACTCTGGTTTAGTCACTGAGGGTCCATCAGCAAACAGAAACGTGAAAATCTCTGCTCTTGTGGGGCTCACTGAGTAGTATAATTGGCCAGGTCACATGTTTTAGTTTTTTAACCCTGCTTAGTTATCCACACCTTTATTTTTTGTTAATAAACAAGCATTTGCTGAATAAGGTATGTTCTAGGGTATTTATGAGTGGATTAAATCTACAAATCTATTACTGGGCCTAGTGATAGAGCAGGAAGAGGAAGCTAGATTCCAGATAGGATTTGGCTGCAAGCTAGCTTTGTGGCTATAAAAAAAAAAAATGTGGCTTCATATCCTCATCTGTAAATAAGAGAATTGGATTACATCATCTCCAAGGCTCATTTTAGCTTTAAAATGTACAGTTTTGTTTACTCCCACAGGGATCACCACCCTCTTGGTGGCAGCTGGCATGATGCCTGAGAAGAACTTGCCAGTGCTCAGAATACACCCTGTCAATTCTAACAAAGTAGATGATGGGAAACATCACCATACTATGCTCCGGAGTGTGATTATATGCCACTTTCTATTATTTCTTGTTATTTCAACTGCTTCCCAGCTAGAGCACACACTCCTGCAAGGCAGGAATCAAGAAGTGCATTATACCTATTATTATCTGGACCCGGAAAGATTCCTTTGATATCAGAAGCCTGGATTTGTATTTCTAAAGTTATCTATATTTTTCCCCCTTGAGTAGGTCAAATGCTGCTCGTACTACCTTATATGTTTTACTTATTAATCTGACCAATTAACCAACCCCATTTTATGTCATGAACAATATAAAATTTAGATCTGCCTTTATCAGAATAATGTGTTCATTCCTGTTTAACGAAGTTTCATTATACTTGAATAAATGTGGCGGAGTGGGAGATGGGAGGTTTGTAAAGACTAGAACTTAATATGCAGTACAGGTATATCTAGCCTGAGTACTATAATACCAAAGATGAAAGCATACACCAAAAGTGAGGGACTAGTTTTGTTAGCACAGGAATTGAAACCAATTATAGAATTTGGAGGGACTGAGGCAGTAGAGTGTGGTTAGGACATGTGTTTTGGAACTAGACTGCTGGCATTTGAATTTAAACTCTGCCAGTTTAAATTGGTAAATTTAAACTGGAGGTGACCTGGAGGTGACCCTAGGCAAGTTACTTCACCTATCTATGTGTCAGTTTCCACATATCTCATTTCATTTTATTAAAGATAAATTTCATTTTATTGAAGAGGATGAGAGTACCAATGACAAAGAATTAAATGAATTATTATTTGTAAAGTGTTTGAGCAGCGCCTGACAAAGGCAGAGGAACTTCTAATTCTGTTCAGTTGTTTAGGAGGGAGTTAAAATGAGAAGAATTAGGAGCAACAGAGACTGTCACTTAAAGAAACTGGTGTTAAAGGAAGGCAAAACATCGGACTGCACTCGTAGGAAGGAGTAGAGACAAACAGTCAAGCACAGGTGTTTGTGTGTATTTTGGTTCTCAAGACAAGGGAAATCTCCATCTATTTGAAAGTGGATGGAAAGGAGCCAGTGGTCAGGAAGTTCAAAGAGGGAGGGGATAGCTATGGGAGTGGAATGACCTGTAACAAGGACACAGGTAATCAGAGGCGAAGAGAGGGAATTCTGGGAGAGTTTCCTCCTAGTTCTTGCAAAATCTAGCTAGCTTTATGCAATGTTACAAATCTGGCATTGAAAATCTGGACGTGACAGCACAGACCATCATAGCCCTCAGATACTTAGGATCAAGCAGTGGATAGGGATAAATTAGTGAGCTGGTGTGGGTGAGCAGAAAGAACTATTAATGACATGATGGAAAGACGCTATAACCATGTGGTACCTCTGGGTCGTTCTGGAAGGAATCTCGCAGGCAAACTAGCATAGTGTTCAGCCCACAGAAGCAGCATGGCTCTGTGAATACAGGCGTCAGGCATCCTCAGCTGAACCATAACCGGTCACAGGGTCCACAAACGAGCCATAGCAGCAGGCCAGACAAATGAGCTGTGTTTGTAGAGTGTCCATTTGGGGTTTGTGGAGTGCCCATGCACACATCAATCATCTTTCAGTATTGCCATAGGAAAACAATTTGGCCCAAGAGTTAAATTCAGATTGGAAGATCAACACCGACCCTCCTGCCAAATACACAAATAAACAGTCTGCACCACCTTAACTGAATTATTTTAAAATATCCTGCTTAGTAAACAAAGCTGTTTTAAATGAAATCCTTGGGCCCTCACATCCAGAGGGAGGATCAACTTTGCTGGCAGATTGGTATATTATATGTTTGGCAATTTGGGAAGGACACAGCAGAGCTGCGAGTTTAGTTGAAACGAGAACAAGATTTCAGGCAGGAAGATCCTAGGCTGCATGAATGAAGATTTGTGGCTACAAGCGCTGGTATGTCTAAGAGAGGCCCATTAGTACCTGCTCATCCTTATGCTTTTAAGACAGGCCATATTTGGTGTGGTTGAAGAGCAATGTATTAAAGGGTTTAAGCATTAAATGAAATTAAAGGCAAAGGGGCTTGACATCACCTGACATATGGCAGTCTTTATCTTTTAGAAATGGGAAACTTTCAAAGATATTTATGATTTGCCAAGATTTGCCTTGGAAACAATATGAAGGATATGTTAGAGAGAAGGAAAACTTGGGTCAAAAACATTAGTAACAAGGCTATTAGTAGATCAAATCATATATAATCTTTAATACACAACAATTTTTTAAAATATAATTTATTTTTTAGAGCAGTCCACAGCAGAAGTGAGAAGTATAGAGATCTTTCACAGAACTTCTGTCCCCACGTAAGCATAGCCTCCTCCATCATCAATGTCCCTGGCCAGAGTGGTATATTTGTTGCAATTTATGAATCTATAATGACAGCATTATTACCCAAAATCCATACTTTACATTAGGGTTCATCCTTGCTGTTGTACATTCTATGGGTTTGGAAAAATGTATAATGATGTGTCTACTATTATGGAATTGTAGATTAGTTTCACAACCCTAAAAATCCTCTGTGCTCCACAAACAATGCCATTAGGAAAATACATGCTCCAGAACTCCCGGCTCTTCACAAACTACCTTGCAGTGACTCATTCTTTTAGTTTTTTTTTTTTTTTATATCTTCTGCTATTTGACATTATACAGTTATGTGATATCGAAATTCCTACAGCTGTAATCTGCTTCTAAAGTTTAGCTGACAAATAATGCAAGCCCAAGGGCATTTCCTTTGTGAAGGCAGGCCTTTAAATAGGAACCAAGCAACATGATAGCAAGAAGAGAAGCCTAGTGGTCAGCTAAGGTGAGAACTTATCCTAACCAGATCATTCTTCAACATACAGAGAATCCTCACATAGGAGTATAAAGGGGGCTTTGAAAGCCTTGCCGATCAAAAAAAAAAAAAAAAAAAAAAAACTTGTTTTCCTTTCTCCTCCAAGTCTGACCAGTCTTCCAGAACCATAAAGTTTCTGTGCAAATTGCCACTAAACTTTTTCTGTTTGCTCTGAAATAGGTATTGGTCAAAGTGTAATTTTTGCTGCAAAGAAGACATGGCATTTTATGACTTTTCACACAGCACTGCCTACCTAAAACAGAAATCACCCATTTGCTTAACACAGTTAAGGATTGGAAAACTGTATGTCTGTCTGGACAATTTATATGATGCCATGCCACTTAAGATGGCCACGCTGTTTAAGATAATCTGAATTACATTTTTGAGAAAAAAAACCTTAGGAAACTAATTTAAAAAGGCTGAAGATAAAATAGAATTCATTTTATCCTGTCTTTTTCTTATAAGACTATTACTGAGAAATGTATAAAAAAGCAAATCGTTTTTCGACTGTGACATCCAATGAATTTAGGCCATAATGTGGAGAATGCTGTTGAGGGATGGGCCTCAGGACTGGTGGGGCAGCATTGTCCCCTCATGCCACAAGTGCTTATCCACTGTGATTTATGTGCCAGGCACTGTGGTAGCTGCCGGAGACTCAGTGTCAAGCAAAACCAGGTAGGGTTCCTGCTCTCATGAAGTTTATAGCTTAGATAAAATGACAATTATTCAATAAATAATCACACACGTAACTATAAGTTTCAAACAACAGGAGTTCCTGAAAGGAAAAATAGTAGATGTCATATAGTAGGGAACCAGCCGAAGTCAACAGGATGCTCTCCAAGGAAGTGATTCTCTAAGTTGAGATCCATCAGATGAGTAGAGGTTAGCCAGGTGATGAAGAAATGGAAGCACACTCCAGGCAGAAGAAAGTGACAGGCCGTGAGATATAAAGGAGGATGACACTGTTTATAATGCTCAAAGATGGCTGGTGTAGCCTGAGCACATAAGACCAAAAGGGCCACAAGTTTGAAAAGAGGCTGAAGTTGTATCCTGAGGCCAGATAAAACAGCCTTTGAAGTCACGTTAAGAATTCTAGTCTTTATCCCAGAGCAATGGGAAATCATGAAAAATAGTAAGCTGGAGGGTGACTGCATTAGATCTCCCTTCACCAATCACTTGAAGTCAATGAGTTTTTATTTAGCATTTAACAAGTCCTGTGATAACTTCCCTAGTCATAGCAGACGTGGTCTCTGCCTGCAAGTGATATTTGGTGTGTAAGTGTAGGAGGAAATAAGTGTGAGTCAAAGCATGAAAGCAGAAAAGAGACGGTCTTGGGAAGATAATATCTAAAACATCCTATTGATCAGTAGCCAATGTGACTTTGATATGCAGGTTTTGGTTTTGCTTTTCTTCCAAAATACTCAAGGAAGTGTCCTGTGAAACCCTCTGTCTGTTCACAGATCAGGTACCACACAGACAACTATGCATCCAGCTCCACCTCCTTACCCTGCCAGTGTTCCTCAACCCTGATGTGGAGTGACCATTTGGAAAGGTGAGATTTAGAAACTGCTGGGATTTACAGCATAGCCTCCCCCTATCTCTCTGTTCTAATCTGAGTTCGTGCTATAAAGGCAGAGTATCTCTGAGAATTAAAATGCGAATTAAGCATACACATCTGATTAAGAGTACTAGATTCCTTAGAGGAATTGTCGTTTTTAAAACTTTGCTTAAGTTTCCTCCAACCAAGGAATTTTTGAAAATCTGATATTGTGACTAATAAAGTCTCTTGCCATGAAAGAATCTGTAAGTCACTGAATTTTTCATAGTAAGGACAGTGTCCAGGAGTATGTTAAGGCTAAGCTACTCCTATTTTAATTAGGTATCAGAATCCAGCATGTTCATTACTCATTTGGCTAGCACACTCTTAGTTGCACTTTTGATTAGATCTATTTTGAATAAAACACGTACTTCAATGAATGAATACTCTAAAAGGCAGAACATAATGCCAAATGTGATGTATGATTGGCCATATCGAATTTTGAGCTTTAGTTTCCTCCCTCAAACACCTCTTTTTAATATTTCTGTTAGTGGCTAATTGAGTGGAAAGTCTGCTGGGTATTACAGCAGTGTGTGATTTCTTTTTCTTTTTAAGAAAGAATGTGAAAAGGCTTATTTTTGCAGAGGTAGCACACTTGACTTATCAAATGTGAAAAAGCATGCTAATTTTATTTTATTCTCCGGATAAGACCAGGTACGGTAACTCCTCTGCCCTGTAGAAGTTGTTATAATGGATCTAAACATTTAAGCAGCTCAGTTTCTTTAGACGTTCATCCTCCCATGGTTGAGGGAGCTGGGGGATAATCTGCTTTTCAGAGGAAGAGCTGAGTGTGTTTTTCCAATAGAGATGTAATGCGCCACTTATAGGATAAAAACAAGCTGGTTGATTCTGGAAAATAGCTTTAAAATCATGAGATCAATACAATTTTTGCTCAACTCATAATCCTATATCTTTCCATATATATACATATATATAATATAACAAACACACACACACACACAAACACACACACACATATGTGCACACTGGGTACTGTCTTGGTGTTAATACAAATTCCCCTAGAAAGCAAATGAAGGGAAACAAAGAGAGATACCTTATTTCCATCTCTTTTTTGATAGGTTCATTCTAACTCTGTTTTTAATTTTTTAAAGTAAATCTTGTTACACTTTTGCTCAGTTATAAAAATAAGCTCTGTTCTCTATAGAAACTTTGAAAAATGATGAAAATTAGAAAGAAAAGCAGTTTACTAAACTTTAACTGGTCAGCAAAAATTCAGTATCATGTTAGTGTATGTTTTTCTATTCTTTTTTCCTACAGTTTTTTATTTTGTTTTATACACTTATGTTAATATTATGACATACATTTTAAAATCTTGTTCTCATTTTATTTGGCATAAAATAAGCATTTCTCAGACGATTTGCAAATTATTTTTAAAACTTTGTAAAGCCATTATAATATTTATGTAATAGGTTATCTAAATAATACACTGTAGTTTACTTATCCAGAATCTGTGGTCAAATTTGGCACACCAATGAAAATATTACTGTATCATTACCTAAGTACTGAAATACAGAGGTTTTAAAAACTGTTTATATATATTTTTACCAAAAGAAGACTTTAAGGAATAAATTATATGTAATATTAAATGTTCTTTAAAGATACCTGTAGTCAGTGTTTGCTAAAATAATTGTAGAGATTTAAAATTTCATCAACCTTGTGTGATAAAATGTGCTTCACCCTATCTGGCACTGTTGTACTGTCTTTTAAAAAATGAACAGAATACTTGTTCTGGCAGGAAAAAGTTCTATTTCCTGGCTATTTCAGCTTGTATTCTTCCTTATTTCTTTTTAGGCTAGCATTATGTATTAATTGGAACTTGTTTTTACAACAAGATTATGTGACCATTTATTGTGCCCACAATTGTTTCCTTTTTAAAATAAAACACCATGTAACTACTTCAAATGAGAATGTTTTAAGTGTTTAATGCAAACAAATTTTTTACTTATATTTTATTCCTCACACGGTACACAAAATTAAAAAGCATTATCCCCATCTGTTCTTATTGCATATTTCTCTCTCTATTCTAACAGATAATGAAAGAACGGAGTTGGACATTTTATTGCAATTCCTGCTTCCCTGAATTTGTGTATTTCTTCCCACATGAGAAGGAGAATTATATATTCTGATTTTATTATTTCTTCATTTTTATCTTTTTATTTTAATGATTGTTTTCTCAGTAATACCCACGGAGATGGATATTTATTATTATAATCTGTGCCTTTGAATATTCGATTGGCTTCTTGGATGGGATTTTGAATATGCATTTAAGAAGTTGGGAAAAATTTCACAGATGATGATTGGAGGGAAAAATGAAGAAAAGAAAGACCCGTGTTCCAGGAGTTTTCTCCAACTTCAAACCTTTATGTGCATCTTAACCAAAGTGAACATCTTTACATTTCATGATAGCTTGATTTTACAATATGAGTTTGAAAAATCAGTATAAGTTTATGATGGTGACAAGTCAACATATTGAGAGCAATAATTCAATTAATAGAATATGAACTTAATAAGATATAAAAGCAAATGAAGGCAGGAGGGAATCTTGATGAAAATATTTATGCCAAATATATGATTAACATTTTAGAAATGTTGTGTGCCTGTGGGTTTAGCATGGAACTAAAAGTTCCTAAGTCTCAATTCTAATTTTGTGTCATTTAATAACTCAGGAATCCACTTCATTGTTATTTCTAAGCTTCTGACGACAAAGGAGTGATGCAGCTAAGGGA